GAGCCCATCTCCAGAAAGGCCTCCTCCGACGGGGAGGGGGCAGCAGAGCCTTCGCCTTCACCGCCCCGGGACCCGGGAGCCCATTAACACCCAGGGAGGGATAGACAGGCTCCCCCCCCATCAAGCCTTTTCGAGAGACTTATCAGTGGAAATCCTCTTAGGTTCGCAGAGATGGGAAAAGCTTTGTTTGGTTTTTTAAACTATTGCTGTGGTGGCCACTCTGCTTGGGATATTCTTGAGGTGTCGTAAAAATACAACACCACCTAACTTGGTGTGCAGGGGCATCTGACTCGTCACTGGTAGAGGTGGATGGTCTGGATCTAATCCAAGTGAAGAATTATGTTCTTCATGGTATGGAAGCTTCTGCATAAACAAGTTCTATGAAAAGTAGTTTGTTAGGGCAGGAGTAAATCCTGTGGCATCTGAAAGTAGAGGTCAGTGTGTGTGAGGAAGGCCCCTGGGTTTTATGGTGTGGCCTGTCTTTCAGTCTCCAGCAGCATCCTCCTCATGCTGTGTTCTGTGTCCCGCTCTGTTGTTCCCTAACTGTAGCATCTGGTTTGCCCTGCTGTCTCCTTCACAAAGAGGGGGTCTGCATCTCTACCTGCCTCCTTTGGCGGCCTGCTGGACCACAGATCCCACCCAGGCAAAGTGGACTTGGAGGCTGAAGATCAGGTGTATAGTGATCTCTGTCTCACAAAAGTTGAGGACTCTTGTGAGTTGAAGTAGCTTTTTCTTCCTGTTAATCTAAGCAGTGGCCACCTCAGAACTTGCTGTCGAGACCAGACCTCAGGCATGGAACATGTGACACATTCCTTGGAGCAGAAACTTTAATAGGTTTACATAGGAATCTTTGCAAATGTGGTAGTGATGTATACAGGTTAATAATCATGTGTGTGTGTGTGTGTATAAACAGAATGCATTGTGGGGTGGTGGTACATTACACTGAGGCCAAAAGAGTGTGGGTTCCAGGAAATTTGAAGCCATGGTACAACTCTGTTTACAGTTAACAGGGTCCAGTCCTTTCCTTCTCCTATCAGCAATGTTGGTCAAACTCCTTCCCCCCCCCCACCATATTCTGGCCCTCCAAAATGTGTTGGGCTGTAAACTTCCCTCAACTTCATTTTGGACACATATAAATCTACTGTGCCCATCACACCAAATCATGAAATGATTCAGAGTGTAAGCTTGGAGGCCCGGTTAAGTATGATAATGTTGGAATGGTGTTTGCTTTTGAAAACTCTCTGAAGCACCCTGAAGAATTGGTGACCTGGAATACCTTTGAAGGGTGGAGTGAGAAGAGCATTCACAGAAATTATCTTCCTGTTAATGTTCCTCCCTGCCACCACTGTGCCAAAGTGGTGATGGTTTCACTAGTTGAGTTCTTAATTCAAATCTATCCTTAGGCTTAGTTCACGCATGCAGATTGTTCACTTGAAGATTGTTGCATCCAATGCTGCATTTGGGTGTATGAATCAATCACCATACATAGAACCTTCTGTTGTTTCCTGCCCTGGGTTTTTCACATGAAGTCCATGGACATATGACACTGCTGTTTGTTAAGACTGGATTCTCATAGACTACTGTGATGAAGCAGCAATCTGAAGGTGTGAATGGATTGTTATGGTCTAAGGAAACATTCAGATACCATCCTAGAGATGCTGTGTTTTTTAGTGGGGTCAGTTCACATTTTCAGTTTCCAGTAATGAGGCTGAGGATTATCCAGATGTAAGAAATTGACTGGATTTCTGAACTGGCCCTAAATTATTATTTGCACCGTCTGTAGCAAGTGGTTACTTCTTCCTGCCAGAGCAGGATAACTCTTGAGACACCCCCACCTGTGGACACCTCCAATGTTTGAAGGTAGGCGTTTTGAACTTGAGGTGTTTTTTTTTTTTTAAGGTTTTGGCAGGACTGAAATAGAAAAGTTCTCAAGGTTGACACCTTTATAAATAAAATACACTGATTATCTGTATTCTTAGTTCAAACATGACCTTCACTGAAAACTGAATTATTTTTGGATCTAGAATTTAAGAGCAACCATGTGTAGTCAGATAAATTATGTTCCACCTGGGCATGTGTTTTGACTCAGTGAGTGACAGCTCTTGAGCCCTTGAAGACAATTGCAATCCTAAACACAGTGATTGAATCCTCTTGCTTCCCATATTAAGTCACACTGGAGAAGACCTATGGAATCTGGAGATTTGATGAGTCAACTCCAATGTAAATTCCATTGATTCAAATAGGCCTATTTTAGTCTCAACTTACTGCACAATGCAACAGGATTTCAGCCACTGTTTAGAAGTGAGGATCATGACTCCAGTGTAATTTATCTCCAGGTAAAGATATGGGAGATGTTTGGTGTGTCTAGTTGCCTCTGAAGGTGTATACTTATTAGGACCCCTGTTTTGGAGGACCCCTTTACATTCTACTTTTAACTCTAAGGGGGAAAGAGGCAGTTGTATCTCCTGTAGTGACAGGGCAGGTTTAGCTGAAGGGCTGAAATCCTTGACCCCAAATGTAAGTCTGTTTTTTTCAGGTTGAGTGCTGAATTGATGAGAGTGTAGATAGCTGGAAGGAGGAGAGAAAGGCTTTCAAGCCAGAAAGCCCTGGAGCAAAGCAAAGCTGGCAACAGAGTACCTTTGCTTTTATTCCACTTCCTTTCTCTTTTGGAATACTGTACATTGTAGCTTCATTTGGGGGGAAAGTACTCAGGGTCTGTTTATAGAGTCTGTCTGTCTGTCTCTCTCATTCTCTTGTTTGCTCACCACCCTTTGTTTTCATAATTTAAAAACCAGCTTTGCTTCAGTTTGTCCAACTCCAAAACACAGGTGTGTAAGCTGGCAGCTGGTAATACAGTAATATAGTATTTGGGACATAATGGCATAATATCCGAGCATAGCCTGCGGCCATGTTGGCTGGGGTGTTCTGGGAGTTAGAGTCCAGAAGACTCCAAAACACAGGTGTGTAAACTGGCAGCTGGTAATACAGTAATATATTTGGGACATAATGACATAATATCCAAGGCGAGCATAGCCTGCGGCCATGTTGACTGGGGTGTTCTGGGAGTTAGAGTCCAGAAAGACAACTTTCCCCACTGAGTGCTTAATCTGTATTTTAGCTCTCCTTGTGTGGCCTCTTTTCCACCCTTATTGGGCTTTTGGGAGCCTCGTTGTGCTGGGAAGGAAGGTGCACACGAACACTTTCCAGTTGTACAACTTTTTCCTACAGAGGGTCTGGTCATTCAGAGCTCAGTTGCTGAGGTGGTGGGGGAAAGGTTGAAGCTGAAATGACCCTACCTATGAATTGTAGGGTATGAGGGCACTTTCACCTTGCTCAGGATGAATGAATAGGGTATGAAGCGTCTTCCATTGATCTGGATCAGAACAGGTGCCAAAGAAACACATAATCGGGGTGAACTTCTCTGTTTACATCCATGTGTGGGCGTACATCTGGCCACATGACATTGCTGCATACTTGTAAGCTGGCAGCTAGTTGTGTGAACGGAGTGTGGTGTGTTCACGGAACTATTTTACATTTGATCTGTGTGGTTGTGTTGTGTTTGAAGTGCGGCAAGACAATATTGGAAGCTCTTCTTGCAAAGGGGTTTTGGGGCAGGGAATGAGGCCTTCCTCTTGGCCTACCTAGGTGGCCAGATAATCTGCCCTCTTCAGAGGCTGCCCTCAAAGATCAAATTAATCTCTTGTTTATTATAAAGGGGACAAAAACATAAATGATGTGAAGAAATAAACAGGGGGGTGGATACAGTGTGGCTCTCCAGATGATGCTGAACTGCAACTCCCAGCATTCCTCACCGTTCCATCTGATAGCTGGGGCTGGTGGGAGTGGCAGTCCTAAACTATCCGGAGGGCTATATTTTTGCCCACCCTAACCCTCAACAGAAATGTGTATTTGTGACCCTCTGTGGTGAGTAACTGGTATTGAACTGGACACCAGCAGTCCATGTGGTCACCTGTCATTTTGGGGTGACCCTTCCCAGGGCACAGGACATGTCCCCTCTCTTCTGCTCATGTGCTAGTGCTTGTCAGTCATTCCAGTGGCAAGTGTGCATGTGTGTTATGGTGGTCGGTGGGGTGTGTGTGTGAGGAAGGCACACTGGCTCTGTCTCCCTTCTTTTGGGCATTTGTCTTGTGAAGGAAGAGCATGGATGGGGCAGGGGCTAGAAGGCACTTTGCTGCTCCCTCTCCTTGTATATAAAGCTTTCCACGTGAAGATGGCTATTGCCACCTCTGTTTGACCTTCAGCTTTCTCTTGTTTGCTCCAGAACTCTTGGCAGCAGCTGTGACACGACAGGCGTTGTTTTCTACCATGCCTGGTGCGCACGGTTTGTGCTGAATGAAGCATTAAAAGTGATGGGACTCCCATTCAGACCCAGAGCTTGGGAAAGTGAATGTTTGGGGACTGTACCTCACAGAAGCCACCAGTCAACCATGCCAAGTGGACGTAGAGCAGGCGTCTGCCAGCTTTGCTTAGGGTTCCTCTGCCTCTAGTTATTTTACCATATACAAGCCTCAGATGTTCAAGTGGGTGTAACCTAGTGACTGAGAGACTTCTGTTCTCTGTCAAGAGGTCCCAGATTCAAATCTTTGGCTGTGAACTCCCTAGCTGGACGAAGCCAACGCTGCCTCTCATTGCCCCTGCTTCAGTTCCATTTCCAGCAGTATAGGGCAGTGTTCCCCAACCTTGGGCCGCCAGATGTTCTTGCACTCCAACTCCCAGAAGCCTTCACCACCACCTCTGCTGGCTAGGATTTCTGGGAGTTGAAGTCCAAGAACATCTAGAGGCCCGAGGTTGAGGACCACTGGCATAGGGGGTGTGACTTTGGCCCTGAAATGTTGAGCTGAGGGTCCTCTCAACATCTGTGTCTTTTCCAGGGAGTCTTCTCTTCTCATGAGATGGCCAAAGTATTGGAGCCTCAGCTTCAGGATCTGTCCTTCCAGTGAGCACTCAGGGTTGATTTCCTTCAGAATGGATAGGCTTGTTCTTGCTGTCCACCTTATTGGTCCACCTTAAACTATTGTCACAGAGACTCTTAACGCAATAAATCCTCTGAAGGTATGAAAGCAGCACAGAAATGTTTGGGGGGGTGTCCCCTAATTTTTTTTTTTGAGTCAGTCGAGGCTAGGAAAGACAGAGGAGTAGAATTCCCGTGATGCCAGGGGGATCTATAGAATTTCATTAGATCCATAATGACAGACTTGAACTTTATGCTGATTTATTCAAAATAATGACAGACAGGAAATGAACTACATTTCTTAGCCAGCGTGATCAGTGGCTCATGTAGGATGCTGGAAGTCCTGGTTCAAAAAACAAATGTTTGCTACTTCTGAGATTATTCCCTTTTTCACCTGAGCACCTTCTTTTATTTTGTCCATCCCGACTGTGATGATTCATAGTTTATGTTTGATAGAGAGTAAGTTAGATATTGGCAGGAGGGGGGCAGAGAAGGGGGTCTGGAGGAGTGGGTGGCACTTTAAAAAAAACTTCCATGAGGCTCTTTCCCTTCTTGTGTTGCCCTTGGACCAGATTCTCATACACCCGATAGCCGAGAATTGCCCCCTTTCCTGCCTACATTGCAGAAATAGCTGGTGTTCACTGAAGCCGATCACGATAAGTCTGTAATGAAGCAGAGTGATGGGGTGGAAGGTTCTCCTTTGACTTCTTCCTCTGCTCTGACAACACCCACTATATTTTTATCTTTTAAAACAAGCTTGAGTGGTGTTTTTTTGTTTTGTTTTTTAAAATAAACTCAAGCTGAATTTGATTCGAAAATGGGTTTGGATTAGGAGCAAACATTTTCTGTGGAAAGGCACGGAGTTAAGCAAAATCTTCCTCCTTTCTTGGCATGGAAAGAAATATTTGGAAGAGGCTTTGGCTTGCCTAATAAATCCAGTCCCGGCTGTACAGTATTTACGTGGAAGTAAAGCCTGTTCAAGTTCACCCCAAGGAAACATCATGATTGCAGTCTCAGGCCTCCCCCCCCCGCCCCCCACACCTTTTATTTTAGAATGCAAACTCAGCCTTGCTAGTTACTTTGTGGGGATTGTTATCCACAAAATTACTACAGTTTTGGCTATGCCCAAGGAGACGTGGCTTTTTGTTGGTGTTTTGTTTTTGAGGTATTTAAAAAAAATCAGTGGTTTCTTGAGGCAAAAGAATATGGGAATTAAAGAGAAACACCCGTACAAGTCCCATTTCTTTTGGCCTGCTTTATCCCCTTTCAAATGAGATCAGTTTCAAGTTGTGCTTGAAAAGCTTCCCCCTCTTCCCCTCCTTCCTTCTTTCCTAAGGAGGTCCCCCCCCCTCCTATTTAGGTGAAGAAGTGGTGATAATATGCAGTTTGCATTTTGCTGGCGCCAGTCTGACTGGCAATTTTTCTGACTCCCTCTGTTAAAGTTGCAGTGCCTCTTTTTCCAACTTCTTTTTTTTTTTTTCATTGCAAGCGGGACCTTTTCCTCCTTAGAAGTAATAAAAGCCTTTGCTTCTCTGTTATAACTCTTTTAGAGAAGGAAGAACCAGCTCTGTGAACCGGAATATTCCTGCTTGCTTAATATTTTCTGTGAAATTCAGTTAAATCTGAAGATTAAGGGTCTAAGGAAGTTTTCTTGTATACAAGTTACTGTATGCTGGATCTTGTTAACTCACTTGCAGAATCCGTGTATGTTTGCTTCCTTTTTTTTCCTTCTCTAATTTTTTCTCTCTGTGTGTTTAAAGAAAAAAATTCTCAAAGATACTGCAAATTCTTCTAATGATTTTCCTTTTCTGGGGGGGAGGCGGGGATAAGGTTTCCTTAATTTTGCGTGTTTTGCAATCCCATTTCTTCCTGTTGTGCTCCAAATTGAGTCGCTTCGGATCTTTTCCTACAGGGAGTGATGGAATTCTTTCCCTTGAATATTACTGGAACACCAAATACCGTGTTCTTTCTAACAGACGCGCATAGACTTGAGAAGAGGTTTTTGCATGAATCTAGCATTACTGGACACCTCCAAAGGAAGTATAGTTTTTCAGAACCTTGGCAGCCCTAATAGGAAGGTTTCTACTGCACTTTGAAATGCGTTTCACTTTGCAGGGACATAAACCACTTGGACTGTCTCACTTCCCAGAGGAACCCTGTTTTTAGTCTCGGTTGAAAACTACCATTCCCACATTTCCCTGGGGTGTGTGTGAAGATTTTAGCAAAGTAGTTGAATGCTTTAGTTGTCACATATTGTTTGAACTTGCTGTCCTCACTAAGTGGCATCAAAGCGGTGGTTCAGAAATATTCCCTAGGCCATTTTTCAATATACTAAGGGAATGCTGGAATTTGAAATACAGTGGTGCCTCGCATAACGAGCGCACCGTTTAACGACAAGTTCGCATAGCGATCCGTTTTTGGGGATCACTAATGCGATCGCATACCGATGGTTCCAGTTGGCAAAATTCGCTTTGCAATGATCGGTAAGTGTTTCGCTTACTGATCTTCGCATTGCGATGTCGGGGGAACAGCTGATCGGCGGTTCCAAAATGGCCGCCGGAAGACCCAAAATGGCCACGCACAGTGTTTCCGCACCCTGCCCTCGCTTACGGAGAGTGCGAAAATGCCTGCGCTATGGAGGAACATCGCTGAACGGAGAGTTTGGGGCCCATTGGAACGCATTAAACGAAGTTTAATGCGTTCCATTGGGTTTTTCTATTCCGTTTAGCAATATTTCCGAATAGCGATGGTTAATCCGGAACAGATTAACCTCGCTATGTGGGGCGCCACTGTATCAGTTTATCTGCTGTCATGTAAGAGGGTTAGTATACAACACAAATTGACACCCAGCAGCTTAGCAAAGGAAAGCATATGTTTTATTTAAATCCTGTGACTTTGCTGTGCCTTGATCTTGATCACCTTCAGGATGACAAAATACTTGCACAGTATCTCCACAAATATTGAGAAGGAGATAATGCTACCTCAATAAGTTACTTCCCTGGGGTGGAAACTCAAGCTTTTTGCAAAGGTGCTGGTTAATACAAGTCCTTCTTCTTTTTCAGAATCTCCACCCCCTCCTTACTCCCGGCTGTCTCCGAATGATGAGCAAAAGCCACTGGGTAAGTGCAGATTTTTTTCTGTGGTTTGGAGGCAGTGGTGGTCATGAGGGTCTTATTGATGTCTATGTGAAATGCTTAAAATTGGAAAGGCAAATGTTTGCAAATTCTGGACTCCTGGCAGCAGCCCTGGAGGAGAACAGATAGCTTTGAGGCTTAGCTATGTCGCAGTGATGCTGGGTGTGGGTGGCAAAAGTCACTGCATACAATAGAATAACCAGATCTGCACATGTTTTGTGATTAAGGTGCTACAGAAGTGTTCTTGGCAAGGTAGTGGCCCACCAACAACCTCAGCATTTCTTTAGAGCCAGGGTATCTGGTTAGATCACAAGGCTAGAAGTAGCTTCAGGATAACCGCAGAAGTATATAAGTTCCTGTGGGTTCCCAGAAGGCTCAGTAATGGATTTGGATGTTTTTTGGGGGGATCTCAGTTTTTCTTAGGGTTCTTCTGTTTTGGGCACTTCTGCTCTGTGATACCTGAACCGGCACAAGGCTGCTAAACATCCAATCAAATAAGGAGCAAGTTCTCCCTAGCTTGCATTTTCATGGTATTGTTCTTGAGGTTCTAGCAACTGTATAATGATATAGAGAAATTCAACAGTGCTGGGTATGAGAAACTGAACAAGAAATATGGCCCATAAAGATGTGCATTAGAACGTGAGCCACTTCAACACAGGCATAATCCAAAGGGACATGCCTCCCAAAGAATATGATGCTGTCACTGATGCATTTCAACAAAAGACCTCGGTGTATAGGGTGCCAGAGGGTGTTCTCTGCTCTGATGCCTTGGAAGGCAAGTCTGCGAATGGGAATTCACCTCTACGAGAAAGTGGGTGGATATCTGCCTCTGAGGATTCTGAGTGATTGCTCCCTTCTCCAATAAGCAGCAGTCGTAATACTCAAAGCAATGAAGAGGGGACAGCTTGCCTCCTCCCCACAGATTTTTCTCTGTGGTTTGGAGGCAGTGGTGGTCGTGAGGGTCTGTCTTATTGATGTCTATGTGAAATGCTTAAAATTGGAAAGGCAAATGTTTGCAAATTCTGGACTCCTGGCAGCAGCCCTGGAGGAGAACAGATAGCTTTGAGGCTTAGCTATGTCGCAGTGATGCTGGGTGTGGGTGGCAAAAGTCACTGCATACAATAGAATAACCAGATCTCAATACTCAAAGCAATGAAGAGGGGACAGCTTTTTTAGGGCAAAAGAAAAGAGCATTCGTTGCTTGACTAACTTCTTTTGAGTGGGTCACCAAAAGGCTTCCTGAAAAACACAAGAGACGGAAAACATCCTTTTGGACTATCCCAGAGCCAACATGGCCACTCGTAACCAACTGTTTTCTGAAGCAGAGACTCCTTCAAGGCTCCCATCCTGTGTCTGGACACAGTCGTCAAATGTGAAGAAGGAGGGTGTTCTTGCCATAGACCAGCAAAAGAATCTAAGAATGACAGTAGGGATGGACTTCTGGATTTCTAGGACTCCCACTCCCAGAATTCACGTGGAATCCTCCAGGCAGAATTCTGGGAGCGGAAGGCAAAAGAGAGGGGCCACTACGCCATAGAGGCTACATTCCACATGTTCCTGCTTTGAAGGAAGGAACGGCTGTTGGCAAGTTTTTGGGCCTGAGTCTTTGGTACCAAGTCCTGAGTTCCAAGCCCCAAGTCTGAGTACCTATTAAAAATAGGTCTCCAGGAACAAAGGGGGGGAGTTCCAAATCATGAGTCTGAATCATTGGAGGCAGGGGGTTTTTCTCCAGGAACAAAGGGGGGGGGGAGCTCCAGATCATGAGTCTGAATCATTGGAGGCAGGGGAGGGGCCGAATTGAATCTGAGTTGAGTCACCAGTGCAGCTTAAGTCTGACTTTACAGAAAGTCTTGCAACTGGAGTCCCTGCCTCTGGGAAGAAGACAGCTGTGGTGCTGACTGGGAATTGGACTGCTTCCTGGGAGTTACCACAATGCTCCATGGGAAAGGGTAGTTCCATGAGAGTCTCCCTCTATAGAACCCAATTGGTAACAAGACTGCCCTTCCCGTGGAGCACTGCAGTGACTCTTGGGTCGTAATGGGACTTCCAGCAGGCAGCGGGACTGTCACTTTTCAAAGCAGAAACACATGGCACGCAACATCTGTAGCATTAAGGATTCCTCTTTTTTGCCTTCTGGTTTTACCCTCCCACTGTCAGAATTTTGCAAGTGGGTGCTAGAAATCCCAGATCTCTTATTGCTAAATTGTAAGAGCTGTTTGGAAGTTTGCAAGTTGCACGGAATCAAGGTAGCAGCAGAAAACGTTCCAAAGACTTGTGCTGGTCAAGGATGTGATAGGGTGGGGAGAGGTTCTCTACTCTGGCCCGTTGCAGCACATTGAGAGCAGCTGAACTCATGACAACATATCAAATGGTGAACCACCCAATGGAATGTGGATCTTCAGCTACAGTTTGTATGGTGGTGGTGGGCAACCTCCATTGATTTTGCCTCCCTCTCTGCAACCTGCCGCTTGGTGGGTTGCTATTGTACCTCTGTAGTTCGGCAGAGAAAGGGAGGAAAAGAACATTTGAAGCATGAATTTTACTTCCTTTAAGTGGCTTATAGTAATAGCTTGCCACTGAGGTAATAAAACGTTGCTTGTTTTAAATGGGATTTACCCATCAACCTAAAGCGAGTAGAATGTTTTTTTTTAATGGAGCCCCCACTGCTGCTTACATTAGAAGTTGCATGAGGGCGCAATACAGGGGAGCCTTCAGAAATGGTGCCAAACTACCAGAGCCCAGGAAGATTATGGAGTGACTGGTGTGAGTACTGGGCCAGGAGATGTACCTCATTCATATTGTGCAGCCCTCCTTCAGAAGTGGCTAGAGTATAATCCAGTAGGAGTTTCATCCCATGAAAGACAGTCTATCTCTCTCTCTCTTCCAACCACTTGTCCTCAGCATAGTCTTTCTCCCCGACCAACACAATCTGCCTCACTTGAAAATTGTTGGCTTTTTTGATAGCCTTGTTATTCACTGTCCAGTTGCCACTCATGTCCCTTAAGATAGCTTTTTCTTTTGCAAACAAAACAAAACAAAAACCCCAACATCAACAAAAACCCAAAGAAGGAAAAACTTGCAGCTCCACTTGTTTTCTTAGATGTATTACCTGGATCGAATACTTTTTTTTTGCCCAGAATTGGAACTTTTCTTTTTACGCTGCTATAATGGAGGGGGGGAAAGGAAGACTGAGTTTGGAGCAAACATTTAGAGCACATTTTTAATTAAAGGGAGTGTAAGTGAAAGGCAGAGAGAGTGAGAGATCAGACGTCTTTTAACTTGTTAAAACAGAATTTTCTTGATTTCAGCAGGTGAGGAAGGAAGGAAGGAAGGAAACAAGAATAAACAGCTTCAAGAATTTTAATAGTGATAATTAAGTATAGTAACAATGAATTGTTTGGAGGCTTAGCGTAACCTTATTCTTGGAGCTGTTAAGTTTCTATTTGTTTGATCTATCCAAACTTGGGTTATTTCTCTGGCAAGTTCAGATGTGCCTGAAAAGTTAAGGGGTGCCTATGCTCTGCATCTCCATTCACGTGAGCAGAAGCAAAGAATGTGAGCCACCTGCTATGATAGACCCTGGGTCAGTGGCAGGGCAGGTGCTTGTCAGGAAAAAAAGTGTTGAGTTCAGTCCTGGCCAGCCTTAGTCGGGAAAGACTTCCTCCCACCAAAAAAAGAGTACGTTTCAGTGACCCACTGCCTGTCAAAGGAAACAATATAGGGCTACCCAGAGATGAGGAAAATGACATTTTTGTACTACTGTATATATAACTCATGACATAACCCAGCCATTGTGGCCATGATAGCTGCAGTACTCTGGGAATTATAGTTCAGAAAAGTAAATTTTTCATATCTGATATGATATGAGACTAATAGAAAGCTTCTTATTCTTTGCTTTCATGTTCTAAGGCTCCCTAGTAAATCCGATGGGAGGGAAGCCTTGGTAGTCAAATATTGCTGCTGGATTGCCAGCAGTAATCCAGATCCCAGCAGTGGTAATCTGGTGGTGATTTTGGATTATTAAAGGCTCCCCTCCTCGTTTCAGGTCTCCCAAGGGTTTCTCCAGGGCAAAATGGTTCCCCGGGAGCCTTGGAACCTGAAGCAAGGGGTAGGAAGCTTTCAATTCATTTAAATTATTTATTTCTAGTACCAAAATCGGGTTTATATAATGCAACATTGTGCCAACAGGATTTGCCCCAGTGTTTTATGATTCAATATGTTTGAGGGATTATTTGGGAAATAGTTACATGAGTTTCATTCCTCACCCTCTCTGCTCTTAAATAATACATAGTGAAGGCACGCTGAGCATATTTAAATGTTGTGTTCTCCTGTCCTTGCTCACAGTTGGTTGAGGCTTGTTGGAAAGTGAATTTTGTTTGTACAAATAAATGGTTTGGCAGCTGGGGTCTTTCTTAACGTGCATCCACACAGAACAGATCTGTGGCAGGAAAGTCCTAGGAGTTGCAACCCAAAGGGAGGGAGAGAGTACGAAGGAACATGTTTAATCAAGCGTGCTTTCACTAGATTATCTTTGGAGAAATATGGAAACTTCCTCTCTCAATGAGTAGAACAGTCCAGAGCGGACATTCTTAAATTTGTGCTTCTCTGTGGGTGCTCCTGTCCATCCCCTTCCTCTTTATTGAGTTCCCCTGAAAAGTTGGGTGGACTTTTTACCTTCCTGCCTCTTGTGAAAGGCTCCCTGTGACAAGGAGATAGAAGGTTGGTGTCATCAAGTTAGGGAGTTGGGCTTCTATTCCCTCCTCATGAGAGCAACATGCATCCACTTGATGGAGTAAGAAGGTCATGGTGAGAGTCTCAAGAGTGGTGAGGATTTGGTTCAAATGAAATAATTGTGTGTGTAAATGAAACTGAATATATAGTGACTTGCATTTCAGACTCAAGGTGAAAAGATATATTTCTTTTAACCATGGTCCTCTCCTATCTTGCTTCCCAGATCTTTCAGATTCCACGTTGTCTTACACTGAAACAGAGGCTACAAACTCCCCCAATATTATTGCCGGAGAATTTTCAGGTTGGTATATATTTTAATTTGTTGTATCCAAGTGATCGCTTTTGCAAGTTCCTTAAATTCAGATTTAGCAAGAAAATCTTAATAAACAGGGTTGGGTGACAAAAAACATGCTGATTTTAAAAATATAAAAGAAGGAGGAGATGGTTGCTCATCTCCGAAGAGTCTAGGAGGAGGACTTTTCTCTTCAGAACGATACCAAAGATAATAGCCTTGCTCGCGCTGGGGAAAAAATTGAAAGTCTAAGCATGTTTCACAGCAAACTTGGGATTCTTGAAGTTGTTGTGGCTTCCTCTCTGGCTCTTTAAGCAGTCTTAAGAGCTCTGGTTATGTAGGGGCAGGATCTCATAACAGGATGTTTGAGACCATTATTAAACTACAGATCCGAGGATTAGCTGTGGGAGGTCAAGGCAAGTAAATGAGCTAAAATTAGGTTAAACTTGCCATGTGGACATAATCTCAAAGCTAGTATTGTTACAGTTAATAGGAAGGAAAGAATGCATATTTAGCAACCTGCTCAGATACCGCAGGTCAAAATACTGTACATAGGGAAAAAAGTCCATTTTGGTATATTTGAACATGGATATTTGAAAGGGGGAAAGAAGAAAACATTTTAAGATGAAGCTTCCAGTCTGTTTTCTATCTTGTTTTGTTATGTTTCATATTCTCACCTAGCCCCCAAATAACTTATGCAACTGCAGATTTTTGTAAGTACTTTCATGTATTGGAATATCCTTATGTCCAAAATAGTTTTTTCACTAACGTCAGGTCATGTTTTCATGAGGACTGACCTAGATTTCTGTGTAGTATGAAATCTGATAACCTGACAGAATATTACTGAGAACACTAATACAGTGGTGCCTCGCTTAACGAGCGCATTGCGATGTTGTAAATGGGAAAAATCGCTTTGCGATGATCGGTAAGCTGTTTCGCTTACCGATTTTCGCATAGCGATGTTTTCCCAACAGCTGATCGACGGTTCCAAAATGGCCGCCGGGTAAAAAACATGGCCACCCCATGTATTTTGGGACAGATTCCTCACATACCGGGCAGTGAAAATGGCCGCCGTATGGAGGATTTTCACTTAAAAGTAAGTTTTTTGCCCATAGGAACGCATTGAAGGGGTTTCAATGCATTCCTATGGGCTTTTAAAAATCGCTTAGCAATGTTTTCGGTTAGCGGCAATTTTTGCTGTACCGATTAACATCGCTAAGCGAGGCACCACTGTATATGGATACATGTTACTATAGAACAGTTTCTTCACCACACAAATTTGCAGTTACTTCTTCTTGTTTGGTTGAGTGTCAGTCAGAAGTTTCTCTTGCACCACACTGCTGGTTTTGAAAAGGGAAAAAAATACATTTTGTGGTTGGGACAGTGTGTCTGCTCCATTTAGCAACTGGTTCTTTCCTTCATAATAGTCAGTCCTGTTTTACAGGACTTCACTTGCCCAAGGGAAATTTTGATAATCGAGTTCTCACACTCTTCTTGTTATTTGTTGTAGAACTGCTGGTCTGAAAAGAGAGAGCTCATTTTTAATCAGTCCTGGCTTACTTTTCCGAAAGTATATATCATCTCCTTGTTTAATGTGCAGTTTGCTAAGATCAGAAAGATCTTAGCAAACTGCCTCATCAGAAAGACGAGTCTTCTTAGCTGCTTTCTTGGTATGGCAGGTGTTGGTTAGCTCACAAATAGACATGTTTGGATAAGCCCAAATAAAATGTTTTCCTTCATGATACTAATGGTCAGAGCAGGGAAATAATTGGTGGGAAGGTTTACCTGACATAATGTTTTGCTGCATTCAACCAACGTTGTAAAGTAGTAGTTGGCAACTGGAAGCCCTCTAGGCTAAGTTTGGCCCGCTGAACATGGACTGAATCTTGAAACATGTGTTTTGATGTCTTCATAACCAGAACAAATGCATAATTCCTGAGAAAATCTATCTTGAAAAATTCCATCCTACTGGAGATAGACAAAGTGCAGACATTCCTGTACTTTAGCTAAAATGGTCAATTGCAGGGAATTTTAGGTGTTGCGATCCCAACAAAATTTTGAGGGTCACACTTCACTCATCCTAGCACTCTCCTTTATGGAGAATAACTGCCAACTTGCTATTGTGGTGTTAATTTTGACTCACTAATGATGGGGAGAGGTTGTAGCTGCTGCTGCTCCTCTTGCTATTATTGCCTTATAGCTGCTAAAGTAAAATATCTTGTAGGAGTGGGACCAGGAGGAGGTCTGGAAGCTCAAGTGAAAACTTGCAGAAGGCTCTCCTCTCAGGTCGCTCCTCATATTCTACCAAGTTACAAGGAAATGGCATCAAAATCCAGGATTTTTTTTTCCCACTTGCCTTTGTTTAAGGTAATCCTCATGTCAATTCAGTGAGTAGGGAGGACGTGTTGGGAAAGTGTGTAGAAATTTGATTCTGGCACACAGGAATCTGAGATAGTTTCCTGGCCCCTGGAGGAGCATGTGCTTTTGGGGTGGGGCTTATTTTGGCTTCTGACTCAAAGGTGGAACTTGAGTAAATACAGAGGCTGACCACTGATTTTTTTTTTAACCACTGAGTCTTTGCTCTTTGGGCTCTAGAATAACATTTTGAAGTACCCGATTCCAGTCTTCTGTTTTATCTCTCACTGTTCCTTTCAGTAAGCCGCACGTTGTGGCACAATAGCTGGTCGTTTCCAAAGGAAGGAAGGTGGATTTATCTCTGTAATATTTGAGCACTACATCATTCACAGAAGAAAAGAAAAAAAACAGGTTTAAACTTTTCTGTTTGAACAAAATAACGATCACTTTGTGACCAAGACTTCAATGTAACTGGATATTCCCATCTCCTACTGTGGAATTTCAAGTGGTGCAATTCTTCATAAGTGTGTAATGCTGGTTATTTATCTTTCCCCAGTGGGCAGGATTACATATATAGGATAAGAGGTTTACTGAAATTTAACCCCTTGCTCTCAGTACTTGAGCAACTTTCTCAGTGTTCAGCTCCTGGGGCAACTGAATAGATATTTTCAGTCGATTCCAGACATGATGTATGATGCCTGTGTTAGGATGGCAGTAGTCCAGCACAATCTTGTGAGTGTGCCAGGTTGGAAATCGTTGTCTTTAGATAAGTGTGTGTGCTGGACTGTACCCTTTAAGAAAGAGACACTGGAATCCAGGCGCATTAAACTCTCGGCCAGGGTTTTTTTTAAAAGGAGATTTTCCAAGGGAACAAATGCTCTGTTAGGCCCTGACCCCCCAAAAATACCTAAACACAAACTTTCAGACTGAGTAATTGTTCTAAAGTCTGTAACACTGCAGTTAGCAGGGCTTACGTATGGACATTTAGTACTGATGCGGGTGAAGAGGAGAGACTGACCCAAAAGCAGAAGTTGTTTTATTGTGTTTTGGGCCTCTTATGAAAACCAGGCACCATATTAAAAGTGTTCTGTGCAGCGATCCCTCTAAGTTTCTGTCCCACTGCACAGGAGCCTCGCTCTGTAGCTGTGGGGTTGGGCAGGGCTTCATTCAAAATGGGAAGTAAATAAACCGGCTGCCCATGCACAACCCCAGTGGAACTCTGGGTGAGCGAGCACATGCGCAGCTTTGAGGGAATCTTGGTTATGTGACACTACCCCTTGTTTATGTTCTTAATAAATAGATATGCGTAACTTGTCTTTTGATCCTTTATTTCTCCAACTGCATTTCTATCAATTGCCAGCTGCAAAAATTTTTCCCACTGAACATTTTGTGTCAAACGGCATGCTTAAAAAGCACCCTGTCCTGGGCCAGCTTGCTAAAAGAAGAATCTGTTGTCTTCTGGGGCCACCACTGACCAAGCCACTCCAAGTTCAGCAGGGATCAGCTGGCAAACTGCATTCGTTGGTTCTCCCTGCCCCCGGCAGCTCCCCTTCCCCGCTCACTTTGTTTTAGTTCCTCACTTCAGCGGCTTGTGTCTTAGGTGCAACAGCTTGTTTTCCAGCCCCATTGACAATCCTTGATTATCGTGGCATGACTTACCTGCCTTGATGCCCAGCCCACTTGTCCCCTGCTCGCCTCTGGATGAGAAGTACCCTTAAGGCATCTGAGATGGGACGTTCATGAAATAGCTTCACATTCTTTTTGGCACCACCTATTTGCAAAACTGGGGCAGGGGAGCATTTTTACAACTGCCATTTAAACTCGATCTGCACAGGGATGACTCAAAAGTTCCATCTCATGGTTTCGAAAAGGACAGCTGTGGCAGCAAAAACAATAGGTCTTATGCTTTCTTGAAATAGATGGAGCCCAAAAGTTTAAGCTTCTATAAGTTGATCTACGTAGCTTGGAGTGTGCCAAGAAGGCTGTAACTGTAGTGAGTCTAGCCCACTGGTTCTTAATCTTTGTTACTCAGATGTTTTTGGACTCCAACTCCCAGAAGCCTTCACCATGAGCTCTGCTGGCTGAGGTTTCTGGGAGTTGCAGTTCGAAAACACCTGAGTAACAAAGGTTAAGAACCACTGGTCTAGCCTACTGTCAGAGCTCCCTTGTACAGAATTCTGGGATTTGTAGTTTGGCAAAGAATTCTCTGCCCAAGAGTTCTAGTGCCCATCCTGAGCTACAACAAAGAAGTTCCAAGTCTCTTGCCGAACTACTGGATTCGGCGAGAAGGAACTGTGGCGGTTAAAGTGGTTTGAAATTGCTCTTACTTGTAAATCTGCCTTGTGAAGGATCTGATTCCCATTCTGCCTCTCAGTGTGGAGTGCAGAGATTGTATCCTCCGCAAGAGACTTAGAGGTGGTATGAATGCAGGTGCTTTCAAGCCGGCCTCATGAAAATATACACCATTTTGGTGGATGTGTTTGCAAGGCCAGAGTCCTGGAAGGTGTTGCAAATGCCAGAAAAAAGTGCAGGAGGCACTCCCTGTGGCAACCCTCCCTTCCCGTTTCCTGGCTTTTGCATGAGCTGGGTTTGCTGTTTTTGGCCAAAAGTGAGGCTTCCTCACACCTTGAAGGAGAACCACACGAAAGTGGTAT